TGCAGCTGTGGCTCCCTGGGGATGGATTGCGCGGCGTTTCGGGCTGCTCCGCTGGGGCTTGTGCCCCTTTGTGTGTGCTGGCCGCTCTGTTCCGCCCGTGTGCTCGCGGGGGCCGCTAATCGAGCCCCCGGCTTCGTTTGCGGCCTTCTTCGGAGTCCGAGGCCGCCATGTTTGGTGTGGGCGCGTGCGCCCTCTTCCTGACGTCACTTCCGTTGCGCCGCTTCCCGATCCCTGTAATAGCGCGTCACCCGGCTGGATCGGTCTTTCTTGCCGGGACGCGGTCGGGTGAGGACGCGCTGGGACACTGGGAATCAGGTGCTGTAGTGGGGGTCGTCTGCCTGCGGGAGGACAGTTGCTGGGGACAACCGGGGGCGTGGAAAATTGGCAGGCCGACTATCTCAGCCTCCAGTCGGTGGATCCGGGGGAGTGGATGCTACATCCGGAGGTGTTTCACCAACTTTGCCTTCGCGGGGGTTTCCCGGACGTGGATCTCCTGGCGTCTCGCCTCAATCGGGGGTCGATCGGTTCGTGGCCAGGACCCAGGATCCTTGGGCCGATGCGGTGGACGCCCTGGTGGCGCCGTGGGATTGCTATGGTCTAATTTGCGCCTTCCCACCACTGTATCTGTTGCCGCGTCTTCTTCGCAGGATCGCGGTGGAAGGCGTCCCGGTCATCCTCGTGGCTCCGGATTGGCCGAGGAGGGCGTGGTACGCAGATGTGGTTCGGTTGGTGGCGGACGTCCCCTGGTGCCTGCCGCTTCGTCCGGATCTTCTATCTCAGGGTCCGGGATTTGAATGTGGTGCTCTCAGTGTTGCAGGAGTCTCCCTTTGAGCCCCTGCGTGAAATTCCAATTCTGACTCTGTCTCAAAAGGTGGCCTTTTTGGTGGCGGTCACCTCGGTCCGCAGGGTTTCGGTGTTGGCGGCCCTCTCTCTTGTTCATCCCCGTTGCTGGTCCTGCATCGGGACAAGGTGGTTCTGCGGCCTCGGCTGTCTTTTTTGCCGAAGGTGGTTTCGGCTTTCCAGCTCAATTTTGAGACAGAGTCATCTTGTGTCCGAAGCCTGTCCACAGGAAGGAGAAGGCGCTGCACTGTCTGGATGTGGTCCGCGCCATCCGTGTTTATCTGAGTGCTACGGCTTCGTTTCGGGAATCAGATTCCCTGTTTGTCGTTGCGGATGGCCCTCGGAAGTGCCGGGCTGCCTCGTCGGCCACCATCTCTCGATGGATTCGCAACACGATGTCTCAAGCGTATGCTATTAAGGGGCGTGAGCCTCCTTTTTCTGTTACGGCCCATTCTACAAGGGCTGTTGGGGCATCTTGGGCTTTTCGTCATGGTGCCTCCGTTTCTCAGGTCTGTAAGGCCGCGACTTGGTCTTCTGTTCACACCTTTGCCAAGTTCTATAAGGTGGATGTTTTGGCATCTACGGATGCTGGTTTGGGTCGCAAAGTGTTGCAGGCGGCCGTTTGAGGGGGATTTTTTGTTCAGTTGGGTTTGTTGTTTCTGTTGGCCCACCCCTCTTTTTTGGTCTTGCTCTGTGACGTCCCTAGAGTACATGATCTCGGATCTGTTCCCTGTGTCCTTCAATGAACGGGAGAGAAAATAGGATTTTGGTACTCACCGTAAAATCCTTTTCTCTCCGGTCATTGAAGGACACAGGGCCCGCTTCTCTGTGTGGGTGTGTACTCCTTTACTGCTTGTTGCTAACTGGAGACTTGTCAGCAGGTGGGGGGTTTGGCCACCGGCAGGGGCCGCCCCAGGCTGTAATTGGTCTTTAGTTTTGTGCCTAGCGTCCTTCTCCTGCAGGTGACGATATTACCCTACAGTACATGATCTCCGATCTGTTCCCTGTGTCCTTCAATGAATGGAGAGAAAAGGATTTTACAGTGAGTACCAAAATCCTATTATTCTTATATCCAGCCACTGCACTTTAGGCTGATCATTTTCATGTGTTTTCCAGTATTGGATTTTTTTAATTTTTCGAAGTCTTAACAGAGCTCGGTAGCTAAAGTTGAAATTTACACACACAAATTAAGCATTTAGGGCAGTTATTAATCCCCCTTTCTCGCTGTCCTTCTGGATGGCTACTATGGTATTAAAACAAACCTAAAAATTGAAGGTAAGTTTAGAAACTTAAAGTAAAAGTTTTAAATGAATAAAGCAATTCTGTCTTCCCATTAAACAAGACCCTTTGTTGTGTTAATGCTGTAGGGCTATAGAGCTGTAATGGTTTTAAGTAACCAGCAATGTACTTATAATGTTTTTGTTTTGCCAGCCTTTGAAGAGAATGAGAAAAGCAGCAGTATGCCTGCTGAGATCAAGACCAAGGAGACGGAAGCATCCCATCAGAGCTCTATTGATATAGCAAGCTCCTCCACAGGAGAAGAAAAGGTGCAGGAATGTACTTCCCCTATTGAGAAGTCTGCAACTGCCAGTTGTAATTCGCCAAGTAGATTTTTACCTGCATCATCTTCTACACCACTACAACAAAGGTGAATATGACTTCTGTATTATTTAAGAATTTGCATTAGGATGTTTGTCACTGAAAAAACTGAACGGTATGCATTCGTGCCAAGGTAGGTGTAGGTATTGTTTGGCACGTTACAAAATGAAATGAAAATCAAAAATTTATGAATTGAAGGTGAACTCCAGAATTTTTTATTTATTTTTTTTACTCTTGTAGTGGGTCCCCCTCCAGCACTGCAAGTGTCAACTGCTCAGTAAGTCTAGGGGTAGAGGAGTCGGCTATATTCTACTGGCCTTATTCTTCATTCCACCACCCACTGGCACTTTCCTTCCAACATTTTGATTTGTTGGCTGGCCCTCCCCATCCTTGCGTACAGTGTAGGGCTACCGGTCCTGTGTTGTACTTCACGTCAGAGTGCCGGCGCCAGCTGGACTGCAGAAAAGAGGAGACTTTCGGAGTCTGGTGGCACAGCGTGATGGAAGCCTGCCATAGCAAGGAATAAGGTATTACAGCCTATTCCTCTGCCCTCAGACTTAAAACAAGCATTTCATCTTTGTCGACTGCGGAGAGGGGTGAGTGCACTGCAAGGGTATAATTAAAAAAAAAAATCTGGAGTTCTGCTTTACAAAGCTGCCAAAACTTAGATTGCAAAGTTTAAATTCAGTTGTAGCTTTATGTTCATATTTGTTTTTTGTTTTTTTTGATGAACATATTAATGTTCTTGTTTCCTCAGGCCTGGGAATAAACCTCTTGGCTTTTTATCTCTGGTCTGCAAAGAAAATCAGCTTAAAAAAGCTAAAGTGACCGGTAAGAAAAAGATTTTAAAACCAAAGTGTAAAAAGGTCAAGGTCAAAGTTCAGGAGCCAGAGGAAGGAAACTCCACTGGGAACCCTGAGGATGCGGCAAGCAGTGAAGTGCCTTCTCAGTCTTTATCTTCTGCTGATGCATCAACTCCAACGAATACAGAGAGCATCCCCTCTACTTGTCAAGTAAGTTGATAAGCTGTCTGTTCCACCAAGACATGACAGTATGTGTAAACCCTTACAGCGAGTTTCTCTTTATATGCCCCCTTTTGGCCTGGTAAATATACCAGTAAAAGTGATTTGTTATATCTGTTTTAGAAGTGCAAGGAAGAAACTCCTTGTTCCTGCTAGCAATCCAGTAAGTACTGTCCTGTGCACTCTGCATTCCTAACTGCCCTGTCCATATTATTTCTGAACTACATATTATGGAGACAAGGAAAGGGAAGGCCTTCTGTAGTTCTTACACACTTTCTGTGATAGGATAACTATGCTGCTCAACCATAGGTACAGTACAGCAAGTGAGCATTGTCACCTTAGAACAAGAAGTGTGTTGCTGGCAGGATTTTTTGGTGAAAGTGAGAAAAATAAACTAATGCAGTTACTGTACTGAGTAACAAAAGTCCCAGTCACTGTGGGGAGCTACCAAGCGGGAAGGCGCAGCATGTATATGTAGTGAGCATAATATATGACAGCCAAGTTATGGATGGAGGCAATTCAATTAACAGATTATATCAGATATCAAAGGGCATACAAACCCCTTAACAGGCCATAAACTATGTTTGAGAAATTATGCTTGCGGGAAACAAAAAATGAACATGCATTATCATTGGTCTATGGCCTGTTGAGAGAGGAAGAAGCCAAAGGTCAAACAAAATATATGAAGAGATGGGAACAGGAGTTAAGGAGGGAGATCTCGGAAGAAGAATGGGGAAGAATTCTTACTATGTCACATAGTTCTGTCAAATCCTCATTTTATCAGGAAAAAAACTATAAAATACTCTCGAGATGGTATAGATGCCCAGAAGGAATTAAACATATAAACCCGGGGGAGTCAGACAGATGTTGGAGATGTAATATAGGAGAGGGAACGTATCTGCATATTTGGTGGAGTTGTCCTAAAGTTTATACCTTTTTTGGGAGTCAATATTTGAAGTCTATCGATCTATAGGTAAACCAAATCTGGAGAATAACCCCACAATTGCATTATTATCCTTAATCCCTGGTCCTATAAAAAAGATAAAGGTAGATATCCTGAGATTCATGTTGGCCGCATCACGAGTCAACGTATCACGGGGTTGGAAATCAAGGATCCCTCCCTCCCTTGAGAAGTGGGAGACCACGATGGAAGAAATAAGATACATGGAGGAATTAAATGCAAAAGATACTGGAAAAATTGACAAATATAAGTGTATATGGGAGGAATGGGAGTCTTATAGGAAGTCTGAAGTATTTAGGAGTTTGATAATGAAAGATAGGGAGGAAAGGAAGAGATATAGAGAGGAAACCTTTATGGGGTCTGTGGAAATATAAGAGCCAACAATCGAATGGCCAATCTCTAAACAACATTAGGATTTATTGTTTTATAATGGATTATAAATGCATTTGACCTATATGTATGGAAGTAAGGGGAAGAAGGAGGATAGAATATGGGGAGAAGGGAAGTCCGAAGGTTCACAGGGCCTAGAAAATAGAATTCTAGGTGGTATTAAAGTGTAACATTTCACATAGATGAACACGAATAGTTATTATACATAGTTGGATGAGTACACAATAAGGAAGATTACACTGAATATGTTTTTATCATAGGAGGGTGTTCCACTCTTATTATTCACAGATTGATATATATTTTAATGGGGTACACATAGAAATAAGGAATACACCCACATAATATGAGTGGCGGGGTAAGTAATTATGGAGAATATAGTATAAGGAATAGAGGAATAACACAATATTCACAAACCGCACATATGGGGAATTAATAAACATTTGGTCTTCCATCTTCCCCCCATGAATTAATGTATGCACATGTATTAATGTGTGCTATGTAAATCTATATGTATTTGGAAATACAAATATATTAACCAAAAAAAACATATATATGACAGCCCACATGCATACCTAATCTTAAACTGAAATTTTAAAATAAACTAAAGCTACATATTTAAGTCAACTTTGTTTTTTCCTTAAGGATATTGAGAATCTGGACAGCAAAGATTTGTCTGAGAACCTGGAAACCATAACTCAAGAATCGCCCAAATCCCAGGACCTTGCCACAGAAGAAGAGGCTGCTACAGTGTCTGAGTACTTCTTCAGTGATATTTTCATGGAGGTGGATGAATAATGGAGCCTCCGAGATGTTTCATTACATTTTCACTACTGCATACTATGCCACCCGTTCATTATTTGATTTTTGTATTTATATAAAACTTTCTGCCTCATCACTGATTTATATTTTCCATAGACAAGCGAGCATTAATGCTAGATGAAACCAGAACTTCTTTTTATAACTTTTTGTGTATAATCCAAGAAAGTGGAACATTTCTATTTATTTATTTAAAGTTAATTTATTGGCTCCTTTCTGAGCTGTAGGCTTCTATATGTTGCTGTGCAATGTGAGCTGCAGACCCCAATATTATGGGATTCTATGGAGCCAGCTTGGACATTGTAAATGATTACCGCATTGTATTACATTAAGCTGCCTGTGATTTCTCTCCTATACTTTTCCTAAAAAATAATTATATATATATATTATAATTTTTTTTCCCTTCCTTTAACTGACAGCCTACATCATATGGCTAGATTTCCATAGGCTGCAAAAGGGGGAGCTGGTTAGGTATTTCTAAGAAATGCCAAACACCATTTTCTTATTCTTTCAGCAGCCTCCATACTCTACCTTCTAACCATGACTGTGTTTTTTGAGTGTGTGCAGAGCGTTACCTGATCACAGGCTTTGGATGTTCTGCACTTAGAGACCTAGCTCTACTCTACTTTCCCAATTTTGATATTGTGAAGCAGAATACAGAATAATTAGCATTTGTAACAAGTATTCCTCATCTATTTTAATTGGGTAAATGTTCAGTTTGCTCATACAGTATCTATGAGGATTTATCTGCAATTCTCTATAGATGACAATAGGCAGTCCCATATACACAACATTTCATTGTATGGGCAGTTCTATATGACAAAGTCCCTGTAAAGTTAAAATTGTCAGTTAAGTAATATGCCTTATGTGTTTTATTCTTCAGATGTTTGGCTGTATCAGGATTAACTAACTCCAATCATCTGTTCATAATACCTTTTTGATTTCATTTTTGTGCTGGTTTCGGTGCTTCATTGGAATACTTTTGTTAAAGTCTTTACCTCCCTTTGGATTATGCTGCAGTACTGAGAGAGCAGTTTGGTGTCATATATTCTAGACACTAACCATAAACACATCTCATTGACTATCAATCAAAGGATCTTGTCTTGAAAGCGAGATAAAGGATGTCTTTGCTAACCCTATTTTCAAATTTCTAATTGCTTGGTTGTTATGCTGACCCTTTGACATCAATACATATGATCACTGCCATGGAACAAGTATGCAGGCTAGAAAAATTAGAGAAAAGTCACAAGTCTCTATGTGTATCATACTTGTTCAGGGTCAGTGACTCGGGAGGATCAGCATGCCTGCCAGGAGGCTAGCTTTTGCAGAAGTGGAGGCCAGCAATGTCAGCCTATGCTTCTTACATCTGTAAAGCACAGAAGGATTATGGGAAGGAAAACTTGCAGAACAGCACAAACTGGGCTATTCATTTTACCACTTATGGATGTAGAAATAATTTTACTATCTAGGTTGATGGCCTTCAGATGCTGTGAGGGATTTGTTAGGATCTGAATAGTCATAAATATTGTTTAACTATTTTACTGTCAGATTGGATACTACAGTAAAGGCGACCATGATTAAAGAATCTTGCCAATTATGAAATCATATCAAATCAAGATATGCATGTGCTATTATAGATTACGGTTGCTGGGACTTGCATGTCACCTCCGCTACCATTTTAACTAGAAGATTTGACAGGTAATGCTGCACTC